TTTTTTAGATACAATGTCAGCCTTGAAACGCACACTTTTTTAATTTGGCACAGTGAAGAAGTACCAACAAACCAATTTTGAGCGGTTCATAATCATCTGTTTTCTAATGTTATTGATCCCTCAAAATTTTATGAAGGGCAATACCAAAAAATTCAAAAACATTTCTTAATTATTTTTCTTTGCTAGTAAATTAGTGTATCTGGCAACTGGGAAGCGAGTCACAGAATCACGGCGAAATTCCTGAAGCTGGCACAAACCTTTTTCAGAGTGCGCAGAATTTGAGAGAATCAACGACGATTGCTTAAAAGACGGATTTTAATGGGGGTGTGACCACTCTATGTATTGAACCTTTTAAAAAATAATGAATAAAGTAAAAAACTGATACTCAATAATATGGCAAAATAATCGGCCTATTTCAATTTGGTTCTGCAGACTAAAAAAAATAATTTTCGAAAAAGAGTTAGCGGGCTTAGTTCGGGTAAAGGTTGAAAGTGTTAACAGGCGCAAAGAAATATGGTTCGGCTGCGGCAACAAAGATAATAATTGTACGAATATGGATTATCTACATGTAGCTTGGATACGGTGTTTTGAGTGCATAAGTCATCTTGCCTACAGACTACCAATAAAAAGCTTTCAAGTTCGTAGAGAAAGTGAATAAATTGTTGAAGAAACAAAGAAAAAAAATCAACATGAACTAAGAAAACAAATTGGAATTTTGGTGGACATTCCAATGACGAATTTAGGGAACACCAAAAGTGGTAATACTGCCAAAAAGTTTTTCCAGCAGCCGACTTTGGCTTCTTCGGTAACCGAGGCCCAAGTGGCATTAATAAAAAGATTTTGCGAACATTTTTTGTAGCAGAATACCCTGGTTTTACATGTCTCAATCAATTAATATAATTTTAATACATGGAGCAGATATTAGTGAAAATGTTTCGTTACCAATAGCAATGATATTAGAAGAGGCGCTTGAAGCAAGATCCAGGGGAGACTTAATGCACACCCTCTTATAACCTCAAAACTTAAAAGTACCTCGAAGTACTTTAAAAAACTCATAGATATATTTCATATAGATGATGAGGTAAAGCAGCTTCGTATACACGCGAATGAGTTACCGGACAGCTGTACTTCCTAAAGATCTGATTTCAACTAAAATCATTTTCTCGAATAGCACAAAAAATGTGAATTTTAGGCATAAAATAAGGAGGAAGGTTACAAAAATTCATAAGAAGCTGAAACTCGGCAATATTGCTCAAAACATAACTATAAATAAAATCTCAAAAGTCAGCATTCCGGAAATATTGGTTGCTTCTGGATTTGTATACTGGAAAGTGAAAGAATCAGAGGGAATTTAAAATTGTGTTATATGGGAAGCAGGTGTGGTTGATATCTAATTTCATACTGTAATGTATAAATCGGTGGAGTAGGTCCCAAAATATGAGTTTTTACCTAAATGTAGGCGGTGCCAAGCCCATCGTCCAAGTTTGACAGCGGCTGCAATAAAGCCCTTTCGTTCCATCTTGTGTGTTAAATATTATGTGTATGGCGCATTCAGTTATCAATATATCGGTCTTTTAGTAGTTGTTAAAAAAACTGTTATATCGAGAGTGGGTGGGGTTATAGTCCGGTTAAGCCCATTTTCACAGGGTGGGTGGAGTGTTTGGTGTTATAGTCCGGATAACCCCATTTTCACAGGGTGGGTGGAGATGCCCAAAATATTTTTCCTGAGTGAATTTGGTTATTATAGGTTGAATGGCTTAGGAGGTATATAATTTAAACTTATTAGATAGCGGATTGGCCAGTTAGTAAGTGGCGAAACATTCTTTGGTCAGATTAAGCCAAAGTGTGTTTATTCAACTCTGACCAATGCAGTTGTTCTGTGCGAAGACCGCCTAATACCGACTTCCTCCCACAAAACATTATAAAAACGATAAAAAATGGCAACTAGAGTATAATGGTTTAATGGTGCTTCTCCTATTTTAGAACCAAGATTTTAAGTGAAAACAATATTTCCTGGCCCCCGCAATCGCCAGATTTTAATCCGATAGAAAATTTATGGCGAGATGTTAAAGCGGCTCTAAGAAGTCACAATCCATCTAATAAAGAGGATCTCTAGAGGCTAGTGAAGGACGCATGAAACAAAATTCAAACCAGACACCGTTATGTGTCAAAATTTAGTCGATTCTATGTCCAGACATTGCTAAGCAGTTATAAAAAACAATGAATACTAAAAATAATTTATAGTACTGGATCTATTTCATCGCACATCACTGGTTATGGAGTGTTGTTTGGTTTGTGAGCTATCGTAAAGGCGCAGTGATTAGTTCGTTACTAATAAGCAATAAAATTCAATAAAAATATAAGGCGTAAACAGCACCCATTGGTAAATTGTGAAATCCATAAAGTTGTAACGGAAGCATTGACGGATGTCTTAATGAAATTATTTATTGTAAATGGAAATAAATAAATCAAAAATCAAGACTCCGTTAAATATAATTTCACACTTCACTTATTATCATTTGGCAGACGGCAGAAGACACACCTCTTCATGACCGTCGCTATAACCTAATGGGTATTTGGTTATATTTACAAGCTAAACACATTTATAGGCCACAGGGGGAGGCTTGCGGTGCAAACCGCTATTAACATAAAATAACAAAATTCGAACTGCAATAAAAACTTCACGAAATATGAAGCGAAAATGAGCAAAATAAAAAGCATTATACCCAAACAAATGGGTGACACTACGGCGAGACAGATAAACAGAGAACAATGTAACGGCGAAAGCTTAACACTAATCAAATACATATATGTCTACATATGTGTGTGCTGCCACTGTAGCGATTGTGTCACATACTCGTACATTGCTGACTTGCTGGGCACAACGCTGCCAGAAAAAATGACATGGCACACACTAAATTATTTTAATATGGCATAATACTGCTGAGCGTGTCTATTTAGAATAAAATCCAGTAAGACTGTCAAACTACGTGTGCAACCGAAACTCTTATGTCAAAACATACTGACTTAATCAAAATGTAAAGTAGAAAATACGTTAGCTTCGGATGCAATGAAGCTTAACACCCTACAACTATTTATACAATGTAACTAAATCTGAAAGCGTAACCGAATGAAGGATATTTCATAAGAAAAAAATATTTTTTATGATGATTGATATCTTGACTTTTATCGGTCAGTATTATTGGAAGCTATATGTCATAGTGGTCCGATGACTGCGGTTCCGACACCTGAGCAGTTTTTGGAGAGAAAAATACGTATGCAACATTTTAGATCGATATGATAAAAAATGAGGGACTAGTTTGCGTACATACAGACAGGCAGACAGACATAAATCAACTCAGCTCGGTTAGAGGAAAAAGCCTAGTGCCATGTATATAGTAGGTTTAAAAATAGCATTTTTTTAATATCTTCAACATTGTTCACACCAAAGTATTCAACCGAAACTGTACTTGCCTCATATTACAAGTATACGCGTCTACTTACAAACATGTTCGACTCGCTGCTCTCCAAGGTTGACGTTTATTTACATTCTAAACAGCTTTTAAATTTGATGACTCTTTCTCATATTCAACTGCAAATAGTATTCCTAATGTCTTTCTTTGCATTTTATTGAGGATACATTTTTGACATGGCTTGAAAAATGTATGTAGAAAATAACTAAAGTTCTTTTAAAAATTGCATTAACATCGGCACAGAAAGAGTTTTAAGAAACATGGTAAGAAAAATGCTATGAGATTGGTTGTTGAGGTATATATGTTTTATAACTTCTGACTTCTGAGATTACTTCTCAGGTGTCGCTTCGAGGGCACGCGTCACTGATAAAAGAATAATTTATTTATAAGGCTTGAAATTCGAACTTATTGGTCCGAATATTTTTTTTTACTTTCCAAGTTTTCCCCCCGACTGCACCGCTCTTATGCCAAGACATAGTTATATGTCTTCGAAATATTTTTAATACTCAGAATTCGGTATATTTATCAGGGCTGCCTTCTTCCACTAATTTATTTCGGATACTTTTTGTATACAGCTTTTTGAGTCCATCGAAAGGAAAATAATCGCGAGGAAACATATAAGGTGAAGTCGGTGATTATTGTTGGTCGGGTTTTTGACGTCGATGGTCTGCCGATGAAGTCGTCATCATATGAAATCATCGCCTAAAAAAATTACTCAAACAGCGAAAATTTTACAATTATCAAATCAGATCATATTGTACCAGTTAAATTTGGTGAGGATAGTAGTAGTAGAACTAGCACTTATAGAGAGTGACAGAGAAGCACTGTGGTCCCTCCTTAGACATTCTGATTAGGGTATAAAATTGCATTTTTTCTTCGGTCTCATTATAATTAATAATTAATAATTAATAAACTTTTTATAACAGTCAAATATAAATAAAGATAACGCGTTATGTGACGTTGGGTACAAAATCATGGTGTGCCTACAAGTATTTAGTTTTTGTTGGAAAGGTAATTGCGGGCGGTCTAGTTGCCTAGCTGGCTGACTGTTGTGTGACATTTATCAACAAATGAACCTATAGAGACATACATACTCACAAACAGTATCTACCAAGTGTATTTGTGAATGTGTGCGCGACAGTTTACTGCTTCGGGCCGCTTCGAATACTTACCAACCGGGCAGTCGTGTAGTCATTTGCTCAGTTTCTTTTGCTCGATTGTCGCGTGTGTAGCTTTGACATGTGGATATATGAAAAGTGCAACGGAAAAAATATTAATTGTTTGTACTGAGTAAAAAACTGTAGCGGGAAAAAAGAAAATTAATTATATAACAGCATTAATTAGCGTGTAATTGAATTCCATTGCTATCTGCGGTAATATTCATTATTCCAAAAAAAAGAACGTAAACGTCAAAAAAGTGAGTCACATTGCTTGTAATTTATTTAATAATGTATTGCCAATTTGCTTGTCTATCTAAAAATAATTGCTACCAAAATATTACTTTTAGGATTCAAAAAATTTTCGCGATAACAGTGGTGGAAAAAGGTCCAACTTTACATTATTTATTTACATAACCGTAAACCCTTTTACATTTTTTTGTCACACGTAAATAAAAAAATCCACAGGACAGCTTCAATATGTGCTCGAATGGGCGTGTTGCCATGACAGCGAAAGCTCATGTGTCAGCGTCCAAACTTGACCAGTGCTCTTGAGATGAACCTCGAAAAAATTAAATAACAGAAAAAGAATAAAACGTAAAAAATTCCTAGCATTTTAACAGGCAAAAGTGTAGAAAAGAGAGCAAAACTTTTCGCTGACTATGAATATAGAAAAGCAACTCGAGTGCGTTCTATGTGTGTGAGCACGCGTGTTTGTCGCCGCGTTAACTGTCATTGCTGCGCGTCCCGATGTGCACGCAACACTACCACCAAGTGCTTTCCTGGGGAGTGTCAATACAAATCATACTTAAATTTTGTCTGTCACTCATACGTCCTGTGTAATCGGCATTTTTTCTTCATCAACAAACTATTTTTCTTCCGAATTTGGTTGTCATTTTGTGTATTTTATTTCGCTTTCGTTGACTTTGTCAACTTCACAATTGTTACCGTCTGCAGCCGTGCGCATATCCCTACATAACCAGCAATATCCTGTTTTATTGTTTGCCTGTTTGCAAGCTTCCCTTTGTGGTCGTCGCTTGCCGGTCGCCGCTTATGTAGTCTTTTCCTTTATCGTGCTGCTGATTTGTGCTTAACTTGCAATTTATGGTAAATCGATGGTGTCGCCAAAAACGTGACCTATTTGCTTTATTTCGCGGCAAACGAGCGCATTGACGCACATGGCTTACTTTATGAGAACTCGCACATACATCGACATCTGCATTAGGGCCTGTCCGGTGTTCTCATACGAGCATTGCTGTCGTCAGCATCATTATTATTGTCAGTGCCGCACTATGTTGACGACGTGTGAAATTGTTGCGTTGTCCCTTCGCATCTCTTTGCGCTTTGTCCGTCGGTTTGTCTTCTAAATAATTTACTTTGCTGCATAGCGGTATATTTATTGTCCTTATTTGCTTTTTATCACTTTTATTGCATTGTCAGTATCTCAGTTCCTTTATCTCTTATTATGATGTGTTTACCATTCTTCTTCGGTTCGTTAACTCTGTCGTCTCTTTTTATTGAGTTCTTTCGAATTTTGTGTTCGGTAATAATGTTCGTCAATATTGACATGGCCTTGAGAATACTTCAAGTAGTTTGCAGTGTTTTCATGCTACATTTAGGAACAAATAGTTTGATGTATTGACTTGTTGAACCAAAAAAGACCCGAAAAATATTTCGTTATAGAAGAATACCAAAATATTTATCGGTAATCACAACGTTTAAATAAATGTTCGAATGAATCACCTATCAAAATACGGGCCACTACGACAACTGAGTTTGCTGTTTCTTACTTTTTAATTCTTACGAGCTGTATATCGCATTGAATGCTGTAAATAAATATCAAAGATTATTAACAAAACCAAATAACTAAAGAGTATGTACTCGAATACTTTACCGCGATGATCCACTTTGTGGGGATGTTAGTTACCAGAAAAACCCAGTTTCGTCTGATTTACTCTTTTGGGGCATTTTTGTTTTGTTGAAGTTTGCATTTTTTCGACAAACAAATCTGCTTAAATTAATGTTTTCAATTTTCAAATTTATATTACAAACATGCCATCCGGAAATTGTACAAGTATACTAAAATAAACAAGTAAGGAAGAGCTAAGTTCGGATGTAACCGAACATTTTATACTCTCGCAAAGTCAAATGGTATACTCGTTTGAGATTTCTTTGTGGATTGGCTGATATTTTCGGTAGAAGGTCAACTATAGGCACTGGGGTCCACATATTTAGTACTTAGGGGCTTGAACAGTTTTGGTTTGATTTAGACAATTTTTGGTCACAAGCTGGCATACTTTAAACGTATTATTCACGCAAAGTTTTACCCCGATATAATCATTGTTGCTTGATATGCATAGTGGAAAGTGAAAGAATCAGATGGAATTGAAAATGGTGTTATATGGTAAATAGGCGTGGTTGTAGTCCGATTTCGCTCATTTTCGCACTATAACATAGAAACATGAGAAGAATATTATGTACCGAATTTGGTTAAAATCGATTAAGCAAATCCCACGATATGGGTTTTCACCTAAAAGTGGGCGGTGCCATGGCCACTGTCTAATTTTGAACGCGGTTCCTATAAAGTCATCTCATACCATCCCAGAGATAAAATTTAATGTCTCTGGCGTACCGTTATATGGGGAGTGGGCGGAGTAGCCATCCGATTTCAACTATTTTCACATTGTAGGTAGAGGTTCTAATAACATTTGCTTCCAGTTAAGTTTGTTATTATAGCATTAGCGGTTTAGGCGATATGCACATTAAACCCATTAGGGGCGGGACCACTCCCACTTTAAAAAAAAATTTTAACTGCAGATGCTCCTTCGTAATGTGATCCTGTGTACCAAATAACAGTCTTGTATCTTATTTCGGAGCTTAGTTATGGCAATTTATTTGTTTTTGATAAATGACGTTTTGTGGGCGTGGCAGAGGTCCGATTACGCCCATCTGCAACGCCAACCGTCTCACAGTACCCAGAAACATGTCTACCAAGTTTCATAAAGATATCTCAATTTTTACTCAAGTTACAGTTTGCACGGACGGACAGACGGACAGACGGACGGACGGACGGACAGACAGTCACCCGGATTTCAACTCGTCTCTTCATCCTGATCATTTATATATATATAACCTATATCTAACTCGATTAGTTTTAGGTGATACAAACAACCGTTAGGTGAACAAAACTATTATACTCTGTAGCAACAGGTTGCGAGAGTATAAAAAAATATTTTAAACAATATTTACTTCTCATTTATTCAATAAAAGAAATAAGATTTGTTATCTTGCCGATCACCACGCCCAAAAAGTGTAACTGTAATTATTATCAAAGAAAAAAAAATACTGCATAAAAAAAAAAATAAATTATTATAATTCCATAAGTCGATAAAAAACCGCTATGCAATAGCTTCACCGCGGCAGTCCAACACGTACTTTTTTATATTACAAGATATCTTCTCGAAATTTGGCGCAGAATATTATCCAAAGGAAACTTAAAATCTCCGAATAAATTGTTTAGTGCGAATCATTATAGCATAAAGCTGCCATTCAACCTGGCAGATCAAAATCAATACAAAAATAAATCGACTAAAAGGGTATTTATATGAAAGGATGTTGTATCACAGCAGTGTGAAACGTTAAGCCATTGCACCACTTGTAGCCAACATGCATCTAATGTGTAACATTAATATTTCATTTTCACCAAAAAACTCTAAAAATATTATAAATATGTTATAAAAAGTTGGGCACATCGGATGACTATATCCTATACATGTAGCTCCCATAGTAACAGTCAGTAACGGATCGACAAATTTTAAAAATTTTCTTTTTTTATTCTAAGGAAAACTGGGCATATATTGATAATAATACAATACAAAAGTAAAATAAACACTCTGAAGAATATTCGTATGTATTATAATTAGAAAACGAACAACAATTTTATAAATAATTTTGTTATTGTCTCACTAAGAAAATCTATAATTGATCTTAGTAGCGTCGATGCCCAATAATAAAGGGATACGAGCTTAAAAGCAATCCGTTCAATATATCTGTATATAAAACGAGGCGTGAAATTTTCCGTGTTTTTTGTAAACGGAAGCTTTACATATCTTTAGTTCTTGTCCGCCAGTTTCTTCAGAAAGCTCTCCATTCGGATCCACAATGTTTTATAACTTCAAAATCATAAAGTAAAATTTTATGAAATGGAAATGGAGGGAATTAAAACTAGATATATTTGCCAACCAGTTGCTTTTTGTTGACTAACTTTGCAACCCGAAGATATGGCTTAGAACAAAGTTGAGGCTCTGAGTATTAAATCATCATCAAATCCCGTAATGTCGCCAGATAGATTATTGAAGAACACAAAAATACAGAACAATTGACTTTGAATGAAAAAGACATTAGTATATTGCAGATTATTTGCATATAGACAAAGTTGGGCGATTTTAAAAAAACAACAACACAAGCTAGCTTTTTTTCTTTCAAAATCCCTTAAAAATAGTTTGAATTCGTTAACGTAATAATTCGCTTGAGCACTTTGAACTTTAATTTTGTTGAGAAATATTACCTCTCCGTTTAATTGCGATCACAACCCTAATGCTATTTTTAGAACGTCTCGTTACATTGATAGAAAAACACACTGTGCAGTGGTCACAATAATTCAAAACGAACGGAAATAACTATTTTCAACAATATTTCTCAATTAATATAAAGTGTAAAGGTTTTTATTCTTTAGTAAATACTTAGTAACAATTTAAAAAAAATTACATAGCATATACTATATGTGAATATGTATATACAAGTATATATATATATATATATATATATATATATTAATGTAAAAAGACTTATGCTTGAACAAAGTTTCCATCTCGGTCAGCATAGTCATAGCATCCACTATTGGATAATACTCTACCGAATAGACCACATCCAGCACGCAGGGAGTGGCCGTAGCTGAGAGTGAACGTGGAGAGTTGATTCGGCGCCCTTCGCACTAGGACTGACGTATGGAACGACTTGGCGCATTTTTAATACACCGAGATCTTAAATTGAATGCGCACAAAGTATAGCTTGTGCAAGAACTGAAGCCGCTTGACCTTTCAAAACGACATTGTTCGGTCTATGGGCTTAGGAAAAGTAGAAGATACCATGATTTCGCGCCAAATTTTGTTCAGCAATGAGGCCCATTTCTGGCTCAAGGGGTATAAAAACACGCAAAATTGCCGCATTTGGGACGAAGAGCAACCCTCAGTGATGCAAGACACATTTCATCCAGAAAAAAAAAACGGTTTGGTGTTACCGTTATCCTGCCATGATAACCGACTATTTGATTTCGTGATCTCGGCGACTTTAGTATCAACAAGACGGCGCCAGTTCGCACACATCGTATCAGTCAATGGATTTATTGAAAGAACAGTTCGATGAGCAGATAATTTGACGTTTTGGGACGATCGATTGACCACAAAGATCGTGTGATATCATACCGTTAGACTTTTTCCTGTGGGGATATACCTTCTGCTCAAATATAAACGAGATTGGCTCAAACAACAAAAATGGTTAATTATTCTTCAATATTTATTTTATCCCCTTCAAAATAGTCACCATTAGAGGCAATACACATATGCCACCTTTTTTTCCAATCTTCCTAACACTTCTGGTAGGCCGCTTTAGGTATGGCTTTCAGTTCCTTCTTCGAATTCTCTTTTATGACTTCAATCGACTGAAAATGCTTTCCACGAAGCGGCAATTTGAGTTTAGGGAAAAGAAAAAAGTCACACGGTGCCATGTCGGGTGAATACGGTGCTTGCGGAACAATATTTACGTTGTTTTTGGTCAAATAATCGCGTACAAGACGAGACGTATGAGCTGGATTTTGGAACAAGTCGAGCAGACACACGTCTCATGCCCAAAACATCGTGAATAATGCTATGAGCGGATCTATTTGATATGTTGAGCTCACTAGCTATCTCTCTTTCAGTCACTCGACGATTTTCCAACACAATTTTCTTTACTTTTTCGACGTTTTCTTCGTTTATTGACGTTGCTGGACGACAATCATGGGGCAAGTTCTCCAGCGATGTACGGCCGTCCTTGAACGACTTATACCAATCAAAAATACGTGCACGTGATATGCAAGACTCCCCATATGCCTTCTGCAACATTTTCATTGCGTCCATCGCACTTATTCCATTAGAATAACAAAATTTCAAACAAACACTTTTTGCTCAACGTTAATTTCCATAGTAAAATTCGAAAAACACACTCGAGGTTGACTTGTTTATAGCGCCTTAAAAAAAAACTATGTGACAGATCGCGCTCAAATTTGACATGTAAACATATAACAGTCCTGCCAACCTAAGCAAAAAAAAAGTATGGCCACATGTCATGTCCTTGTCGAGTTATGAATAAAGTCTCGTTTTACGTTGAGCAGAAGGTATAACAATCAGAATATCCTTTTTTAAACTTTTCCCCCATTTTTTGCTCAGTTTTCAACACTTATTACTCTATTGCGTGTAACTCTTACAAATTTGCATTTTAAATATATCCTTACAACAACAACTCACAATATATCATTCTTTAATGAAAATAGTGTATGCCTAGAAGGCAATTTGCATGCCAATGTGGACACGCTTTATACTCAATACTAGAAAACCGTTAGCGAAATGAACATGAGCACAACTTTTCTAGAGGAGATAGCATGAAATCGATAATTTTATATGATATATACTTGTAGTACATATTTAAGTTTGTTTTAATTTGTGTCGGGCACACATGCGAAGGAAACATTTACCATTGGGAGTAGCATGCTTTCAGGCGCGCGGACGAACAATGCCATATACGAGGTTGCATATAGGAGTATACTTTTGTATTATTTATCTTGATTACAAATGAGATATACGCGTTGTCAATATATGTATATATACAAGTATGTATGTATAAATTCATATCCCTATATACAGATAAGAGAAAACAGTTTGAAATTTTATTCAATGAGTAATTTATGAATTTGTATGCAAGTACACACATTTACAGTAAATTGCTTTAAGTTGGAGCATTTAGTCGAGTTTTACTTATTGATTGTTCAGG